CAGTGATTCAAGTTGAACGTCTTTGCTGCGGAGGTTGGTATCTCCCCATAATATTAAAAACATGTCTGCTTTTAATAGAATTTCAGCATTTTCTTATAATAGGATTTCGGCATTTTATGCTTAAACCGCTAATAAAGTGACTTTTATTTTGAAAATGGCAACATCCGGACGACGTCCGTGTTTATGCTTTAACGTGTGTTTACGTTGCATCCAGCATCCTAATATATAACCGATATTTTCCAGTCAGAGATTGAATCACAGCAAATGATTTAACCGGTGAGTATTGATTAGATATTCGCGTATCTGTGGAAGACTGTAAATATGCATATTCATCTGCAGAGGAGTATTAAAGTGCCACAGTAAGAACGCTGATTCATTTATCGATGGATAGATTTTTACAGTGATTGAATGTATAGTGTTTGTAGATGGTGCAGTAGAGTGTCCTGAAGACTCCAGATCCTCCACTTGCTCCCCCTGTTGATCCAGACCCATATAATGTGGCCCCCCTATACCTATCATCACCTGCTAGCCTTCCTCCTCACGTTCCTCAGGTATGCTGTCCTATACCTACCGCCCTCCGTTCTTATAATGGCAATCAGTTTCTGGGCAGTATTATGTTACTGAGCATATCTAGCTTTTCTTTATTGTTGTGACCCCTGTGATGGTCAAGAGTGATTTTTGTGGGTCCTTGGGTGTTGGAAAAAAAACTGACGTGCTTTACATTCATGATTTCATTCATGTTTCAGCCCATGTTTTATTGTACATAATAAGAATATTGAACTTTGTCTTGTTGGCCATCTTAGATGACATGTAGCACAAAGCTCTGCGTGTCACTTAACCAGCTGTATTCTGATTTCTTGAAATGTTATATGATTAATCTAGCTGTTATAGGAACCTAGATTGGCTATAATTTAGCAACATCAGAATAAAAAAAATATGTAGTCTTCGCAATAACTGTCTCTGAGATTTGCAGGCAGTTCCTTTCACCTCAGGATTAGATTTTTGCATTCTGCTGTTAAAAGTGTAGAAACATTGCAAAGATGACCACAGTTGGTTTGAAAACTTATCCAGTGTAATTATTTTATATATCACACATTTTGAATTTGAGTAATACCCCACACCCCTCACCAAATTAAACAATTTTACTAAACTTAAAAAAATTGGTAAAAAAAAATTATAATTTAAAGCATTTTAGCATAAGGTTGCAATATGTAAAAAAAAATTGGGACAAAGTGAAGGAGTGTGAAGACTTTTGCAAGGCACCTTATAAGACTATTCAAGATAAAGAGATAGAAAAATGTTTTAAAAAGAAAGGAAAAAGTGGTTTAAAATGCATGTGGCAAGTTCGAAATGTATGCGTTGCATTTCTGTTGGTGCCCTATGGTTTTGAAGTTTAAATTTAATGACTTGGTGTAATTAATAACATCCATTCTCTATCCAGCTATGTCCTGCTTCACTCGTCACGAAAGACTTTTAGTAATGTGAAAGTGAGCATCTCAGCACAGTGGACTCCATCAGCATTGCAGCAGAATGGCAGCACTTCGTCTTTGTCTCCTGGGGAGGTAAGAATATAAAACACACTGCCCATTCTCTGTCTTACTTTTTTTTTATTATTATTATTATTTCTTTTAAATGAGTAACATTTTTGGAATATGGGACCCACTTTATATTAAGTTTCCTTAAAGGGATAGTTCACCCAAAAATGAAAATTCTGTCATCATTTACTCACCCTCGAGTAGTTTCGAACCTGTATGAATGTCTTTGTTCTGCAGAACACAAAGAAAGATATTCTGAAGAATGTGGGAAACAGAGCAGTTCTGGGGCACTATTGACTTCCATAGTATTTTTTTTCTCCTACTATGGAAGTCAATGGTGCCCCAAAACAGCCTGGTTACAAACTTTATTCAAAATATCTCCCTTTCTGTTCGGCAGAACAAAGACATTTATACGGGTTTGGAACTACTCGAGGGTGAGTAAATGATGACAGAATTTTCATTTTTGGGTGAACTATCCCTTTAACTACTATGCACTTACATTTAAGTAAATAATTTGATACAATGCATGTATTGTGTACATACATGTTTTTACATTGAATTTATGTTTGAAAATACTACATACTGTCCTGTAATTACATCTTTAATTACCCTTAAACCTTACCATACCACCAAACCTGCCGCTAACCTTAACCGTATCCCACCTCAATAGCAGCAAAAGTGTTTTGCAATACAACATGAACACAATAGGTACATTATACCCAACAATTGATTATTTTATTATAAAGTACGTGGTATTCAAAGTCACCTAATATAGAGTGGGACCTCAATATGATCTTATTACAGTTTTTTTTTTCAATTGCTAACAAGCATTGTTCAATACTGAAGCCACATTTTCAAAACTGTTCATACAGCCTGCATTACCAACATGAATCTTGGCCATAAAGTTGGCCTCACCGCCAAAACTCACTCAGACCAACAAAATACTTAATACATCTCAAAATAAGCTTGTTTCACCATAACACTGGCAACAATTCTCATTCAGAAAACATACATTTCATTCATAACTCACTGAACTAAAAAACACCAACAACAAGGAACATTACATCACTTTTATCTTTGAAGTTTGAATGATTTGTCACATAAGTATGTCATTATAGGATAAGAATAACATCTTTTCATTCTACTGACTGTATTACAGCACAAAGAATAAATGGCAAAAACAGCCCCCCCCCCCCCATTTCTTTACATACCAGAAACAAAATACAAAAACCCATCAACATTTACCAAATTTACTTGTGAAAAATAATATAAAATCATGAATAATTTCCTGAAGCAGTAATTAATTAAAACAAACAAAAAAAAAACCCATCAACAGCATGTCTAGTATAATGAGGTATGTGAAGTACTGGAGTCCCAGCTGCTCCAGGAGGCCTTTCTCTGTGGAGTTTGTGTGTTGACGTTGGTTTCCGTTGGGTTTCGTCCACAATCCAAATACATACCGGACAGGTGAACTGGAGACTGTAAGTGAGAGTGAATATGAATGCCCCCCTCCACCAATCCTTCCGTGTCTTCCTTGATCCATGTTTCCAAAATAAATCATTCTGAAGGCATCCATCCCATCAAAAACATCACACAAAAAAAACCTACTAATAGGACATCTGGCTTGGCTTTCAGCTGAAATTGCAGTTAGTTGTGTTTGGAATAATTATTATTCAATTTCACAGTAAATATTTTGCTAAGATTATATATTTCAATATAATTCCTGCAGAAATGGACAGAGTTTACCATTGTTCTGATTTGAATGTGCTTTTATCAGTTTTGAAAGCAGTGTGTTAGCATTTGAAAAATGTGCTGAAAATATATAGTGCTTTGCAGGTTGTGGAGTATGAATATCCAAATACATACCGGACAGGTGAACTGGAGACTGTAAGTGAGAGTGAATATGAATGTGTGTGTGTGTGTGTGTGTGTTTGTGTGTTTGTCATCCCTGTGATGGACTGGCCATCTGTCCAGGGGGTTTTCCTGCCTATGACCCAGGGAAGGCTCCAGCCTCTCCATGACCCTACATAGGACAAGCGCTTTGGAAAATGTATGGGAAAGCAGTGTGTTAGCATTTGAAAAATGTGCTGAAAATATATAGTGCTTTGCAGGTTGTGGAGTATGAATAAAAGTGTTTGTGGATTTTGAGAAATGTGGTCATTGAATGCATTTTGTCTGAAAGCAATGCAAAATGATTCACAGTTTGTTTAGCATAGACTTCTATACCGCTGAATGTGTGAACAGTTTTGAAAATGTGGCTTCAGTATTGAACAATGCTTGTTAGCAATTGAAACTGTAAAAACCGAGCAATGCTTGTATTATTCTTAGCATGTCACTATATGCAATGGAGAAAATGTGTTCAGCAAGGTAGAGGTGAGAGAAACATTGAGAGTATTGTAATATTTTACCTCAAAATACTGTATTGACACTCATCTAATGAATAATGCCTCGCAAAACTGTATCAATATTATATTTCACATTAATATTTTTGTGGTTACCATTTGGAAATTTGTGAGAGGGCAACACATTAAGGCAAGCATTACATCAGTATTTCAAGCACTATATTGTTTCTGTTTGGCAAAATTACAAACTAACATTCTCACAACTAGCAGTATAGTTGTACAAAGCAATTAAGTCCAATGCAGACCTTTCGGTATTTAATATAAATCTAAATAATGTAATAATAATAACAACAGTAATAATACTGTTTATATTTGTAGACATGGGAGGAAAACAAACTGTTTGCTGATGTGGGAGAGGCCACACTGTTCCTGGGTGCTCTGGACTCAATCTTTCTCTTCTCTTATGCTATGGTAAGTTAAAAAAAGGAATAGGTGTAGCAGGCTTTGGGGGTTGTGGGTAGACCGTGATGGTCTGTTAAAGGGTTAGTTCACCCCAAAATGAAAATTAGGCTGTGTTTTACTCACCCTGAGGCATCCTAGGTGTATATGACTTTCTTCTTTCAAACTAATCCAGTCGAAGTTACAGTGGGGAAAAAAAGTATGTTTTCACGAGACTCACTGGCGCATGCGCAACGCTGACCTCATACTTCATCCGCCCGGAGCTGCTTCTGTTACACCTAGGATGCCTCTGGGGTGAGTAAAACACAGCCTAATTTTCATTTTTGGGTGAACTAACCTTTTAAGAACACATAATGCTGCTGGTTCACCATATTGAACCATGAAATATAACTGTGACAGTAGAGGTGTGCGATATTGACAAAAATTTCCCTCCGGAGGTAGAATTTTTTTGGCCAGATACATCATTAAGGATATGTCGTTTTTAAAAAAGTAACTATTACAATCTAAAATAAGAAAGAAATTACAGTAATGTATGTCTCAGACAGAATAACAGAGTAACTACTTTTTTGAAATGAGAAATCCTTGATAATATACATGACTGACAAATACGATCTCAATGAGAGTGTATGTATTGTATATGGAACCTGTCCTGTTAAACCACTGTATGGTCTTGCCTACCGTGCTGCAGCTCAGTTTCAGGGTCTTGGCAATCTTCTTATAGCCTACGTCATATATACTTATGTATGTATTATGTTTGTATGTATATTAGGGCTGTGTATCAGCAACAAAGTCACGATGCAATATGTATCCCGATATGGAACTGCACTAATTTTCACCTCAGCAGAATTTTGTAAAACAGCTGTTTATTAAACACTGCATATAGGGTCATTGCTAACTATAGGCGGAGCAGGCAGTTGACCTCTGCATCATGAACGGCCTCCATAACTGTACCACAGTATAACAATATAGGTAATGGCATAGGTTTCATGTTAACATTGGGTAGTCCCCACCAGGCACAATATTATGATTGGTTGCATCTTGTTTTTAAGCCCATAAATAATAATGTACTCGTTCTAATATATATTGTAATGTACTCATTCTATTATATTTATAAAATCACCTTACATTGCTGGTAGGTTATCATTGCACAAATTAACCCACTCTCTACCTTTAAAAAATAAAAACAAAAATTAGAAGCATTCTTAATTAATGCGCTGTCTTCACTGTAGCTCATGCGCACACATTCAGTCTCTTACTGTGCAGCCCCTCAATTTCATCAATAAAAGAGCTTCACTGCTGAAGAGCTACATTATCTTTCTCAGCAAAGAGTTGGTAACCTGGTTTCTGAAGCAATTAAAGCCACCGCTTCACTGTTAATAGAGAAACGTGGCAAAAACGGAGGCAATTCTTAAAGGTGCCATAGAATGCAATAATCACTTTTATAAGATGTTTGAACACAGGTGTGTGGCCGCAGTGTGTGAAAACAACTAACCTATAATGGTAATAATCCACCCACTCATTGTTTTATAATCCCAATAAATCATAAACAGTTTCTCCACACTAGCAGTTTCAGATTTCTCACTACTATGACGTCATACTCGGGGAAAGTCCCGCCCATTTGTGACGCTCTCTGCCCTGGTAGCATATACACAGCCCTGGGATGCACCAACGAACATACGAGTCTCCATAGACTGCTGAGGACACGGTGGTTAAATTTCATTTATGAAGGAAATGTCCCAGAAAAAATCGGAAAAGTCCTGTCTCTGCCTGTTTTCACTAATGCTGCCTTCACGTGCTACCAGAATGGTCGTAAATAGGAATGTGGTAGTTAAAAATTGCATTTGGAAGCAATGTAAGGTCAGAAACACGGTCACCACCAGTTAAACCGTAACAGCGGTATGCCCGTGAGCATGAGCTCTTGAAGCTCCACACTCTTCTGAAAAGGGAGGCAGGAGCACCAGCTCATTTGCATTTAAAGGGGACAAACACAAAAAACAGCGCTTTGGCTCATACCCTAAAAGTGGCAATTTCAACAAGCTATAAAAAATTATCTGTGAGGTATTTTGAGATAAAACTTCACATACACACTCTGGGGACATCAGAGAACAATTTAAAACATTGTATCAATGCATTCTATGGCACCTTTAAATACACCGTCTCTCTCTCTCGTAAATGAACACTTGATGAATTACACTTGTCTGAGAATAGAATATTGAAGTGGAGATCGCTAAATTGCAAGCTTACCAGAGTTTTCAGAAACCAGCGCTTTTATCCACAGCGGAGAGAGAGCGCAAGCACATGGTTGCCAGGTTGACAAAAATAAGTAACACACTTATCAGATAATTCTGTATTGCGAAAGTGTGGAGCTCTGTGTCAGGGGTTACGTCTCTTTGTTTTAGGCAGCCCAGTTGGGTTCCTCTGCGATACCCGTATCGTCAAATAGCTGTGACGACGATACATCGATGTATCAAACACAGCCCTAAAATATATATATATATTGTGTAATTCATTGAGAACAAAATTGTGGGACAATGGTCAATGGAAACCAAAATCATCAACCCGTTGAGGGCTGGATTCAAAATCAGGCAAAAAATCTATTGAATTTCAGCAAAGCAACTTCAACAAAGAATGAGAGTGTATGTGTGTGTGTTTATATATAAATACTATATATATATGCTTTAGACGTGACGTAATGACGCGGCAGTGAATTCCTACCCGTAGCACTCAAAATAGAAAACATTATTATAAGCTAACCGTTGTGAATCTGGCTAAAGAAAGGAGATAGTTTCGAACACTGGCTGGTTATGTACTTGCTCAAATATTGATTTCAGATCATTTTTAAACAAAAAAAGTTACAGACTGCAGCTTTAAATTGTAATGTTATATATATATATAAAATCTGCAGTACATATATACATACAAGGAATAAATACTTGAAATATATTTGATTTAGTTAACAGATAAACTAGGGGAAAAAACAGTACGACACGTAACGTAGCCTATACAGTGCCTTGCAAATGTATTCATACCCTTTAATTTTTTTCACATTTTGTTTTGTTGCTGAGTTATGTTAAACTGCTTTAAATTTGTTTTTTTCCACACCAATCTACACTCCATACGCCATAATTGTCAAGCCAAAAAAAATGCGCATTTATTAAAAATAAAAAACTAAATTGATTCCATTGCATAAGTATTCATACCCTTATCTGTCTCTGTTACCCTTAATGGAAGAAGTTTGAAACAACCAGGACTCTTCCTAGAGCTGGCCTCCTGGCCAAACTGAGCAATTGATGGAGAAGAGCTTTGGTTAATGTGGTGACCAAGAACCTGATGGACACTCTAGTTGAGCTCCATGATCATATGTGGAGATAGGAGAAATCTACAGAAGGACAAACATTGCTGCAACACTCCACCAGTCTTTAATGGCGGTGTGGCCAAACTCAATCCTCTCTTCAGTTAAGACACATGAAAACACACTTGGAATTTACAAAAAAGCACCTAAAGGACCCTCAGACTCTGAGAAACAAGATACTCTGGTCTGATGAACCGCAATTCTAAGCATCATGTTTGAAGGAAACCAGCTCCGCTCATCACCTGCAGAGTACCATCCCAAAAGTAAAGTGTGCTGGTAGCAGCCTCATGCTGTGGGGCTGTTTTTCAGCAGCAGGGACTCGTTAGAATAGAAGAAACGCTCAGTGCAGCAAAATATAGAGATAGCCTTAATGAAAACCCAGTCCAGAGCATTCAGAACCTCAGACTGGGCAGAAGGTTCACCTTCCAACATGACAATTACCCTAAGCACACAGCAAAAGTGGCTTATAGACAACTGTGTGAATGTCCTTGAGTGGCCTGGGATTGAACCCAATCAAATATTTCTGGAGAAACCTGAAAATGTGCATCTGCCCCCATCCAACCTGACAGAGTTTAAGAGGGGAACAGGTGAGGTGAAGGATGGCAGCTAATTGCAAAATGCTGATGAGCAAAGCTTGTCGCATCAAACAAAAAAAGACTTGAGGCTGTTGAGGTGCTTCAGCTAAATATTTAGTTAAGGGTATGAAGAATACTTATGCAATGTACTTATTTCAGTTTTTATTTTTAATAAATGTACGAAGTTGTGACAATTCTGTTTTTGCTTTGCCAGTATGGTGTATGGAGTGGAGATTGATGTGGGAAAAAAGTAATTTAAAGAAGTTTATCATAAGGCAGCAACATAACATAATGTAAAAAAAAAAAAATGAAGGGGTATGAATACTTTAGCAAGGCACTGTGTGTGTGTATATATATATATATATATATATATATATATATATATGTATATATATATATGTATGTAGTATGTTGGGCCAGTTTAAGTGTTTATGTAGTTAATAAAACCTTACTTGTATCACACTTGACGTGGTTCATTGTTTGCTCATAACTGGAGTCACTTAATCATGCAGATTTATGCTACAAGCTTTTGTAGACTTGTACAGTAAGAAGGTTATTTCCCTTAACCAGGAAATTAACGTTCTTAGAATTGACAAGACAGTTGACCCTGAGAGGTCAGCTAAATATCTACAGCGGATCTAAAATATTCATAATTAATTATAACTAGTTATGATTAATTATTCATATTTCCCATGAGCTGATTCGTTACAATATATATCACACACACATATTTGTTTGTTTAAAAAAAATAGATGGTACATGTGGCACACCCATATTTGGCAGTGATTTGGTGATTTGTTTGGTTTTCTTTCAGGGTTTGTATATCAGTGGAGTAATTGGTGATCGGTTCAACCTTCGCTATGTTCTGTCCTTTGGTTTATGTGGATCCGCTGTCACGGTTGGTATTCTGTTGAAATATGTAACTAGGGCTGTGAATCGATTCTTACTTATTTAAAAAAAAATGTAAGTGGAGCTGAATGCATTAAAGTATAACATAAAGAAAAAGTCTTATGTATGTTAACACTGGTTCCCAATGTAGGGAACAAGATGCTGCATCAGTAGCTAGATACTATGGGAAGACCCTCCAGGTGTGAAGATTGACTGAAAACCATATAGAGTAAATGTCAATAGTGCAACAGTCGGGTTCCGGAAGTTAAAATATCATTCATTTTCTTCATAGAATTGATTTGTAATGATAATTTATAAAGCTGTGTGGTTGTTAATCAATGGTAAATGCTTTAGTTGAAGCCATTAGTCCACATTATTTTATTTATAATTTATTATTTTATTTAATCTTATTTTTTAGATAATCAATCCCCACCAATCAGAGTATTGAATCAAGCAAATTGCAGTAAAAGAACTCTTTAGCACAAACTACTTCTCTATGGTCTTGTACTTTTTTTTGGTCTGATTTTCAAATTTTTTTGCTTCAAATCAAAGTTTGTAAAATTGTGATTCACCAACTAGCTGGTTGGTTTGGATTATGGCTTACAACTTTTTAATGAAGCCTGCCTATGGTAAAATACTTCCAAGGCCGCTGAGAAATTAGGTGGCCACTGTTGCACACTATTGATTGGCTGATGCTGCCACATCAGTGCCTCAAAAGGACTTGCCTGTGCAATTACTACTCTAGTAACTAGTAACTAGTTGTAGAAGTAACGAAAAAAATGACACAGTTTTCAAATTTAGCCTGTCCCATACTGGGAGAATGCACAGCCTGACTCAATATGAGGGGCCCACATGACTTATGATGCGGTACCTCAGTGCACGGCACTAGCGCCATCAGCCAATAAATGGTCATCATTATGTACAGGCTTTAGGCAATCGTCACATCTGGTTGGTGCTCCAATACCTTCAGATACTGACACAGCGTGAGTGAACCTATGAAAGTGAACAAAAATAATCTGTGAATTTGTGTCTTTATTTATTTGCACTCACTCTCTCTTCTTTTTTTTTAGGAATTTGTGTTTGGCACTTTGACAGAATGGCTTCACTTTTATAACATGTACTTTTACTGCATCTTGTGGGTGATAAATGGACTGCTGCAATCTACAGTTTGGCCCTGTGTTGTGGCCATCATGGGCAACTGGTTTGGAAAATCTGGGTAGGTGTCAGTATGTTTTCATGATTTTATTTTTTCGTTATGTTTTAGCTATTTTTTAATTTCTTTTTTTTTTTTTGCATACACTACTTAAAGGGTTAGTTCACCCAAAAATGAAAATTATGTCATTTTTTGTCTTGTCTGAGAATTTTAATGACAGAATTTTCATTTTTGGGTGAACTAACCCTTTAAGCGCGCAAGTATTTTTTCTAATCATCCTTGATCCAGTTTAATCAGGTGCTAAATGTGCTGAAATGGCACTGTGCTGTGTGTTCTTACAACTACGCAAATCTGAGAAAACAGAGAAAACTGAGAAAAATCTGATGGTCCAAACAACAAGGGAGAGCAGATGATTTGTCCAGTCAGTCAGTCACTCAGACAAGACAAACAAGTAACAGACAAGACAAAACAAGTATAACACAATGCAGTGAAGTTCAAAATTCAAAATACAGGCAAAACATGAAAAATAAAAATAGAGAATATAGTACATTGTGCCCTATTTTTATGCATTTTTACATTGTGTGAACAGTGAACCAATTCAAGAATTGGTTCATTGGAATTGCACAGCAAATGAATTCTGTTGGTTTATAGCCCCTGTGATCTGAGTTGTAAAGGAAGGAACTGAATTTGATTAATTGATTTTATTTTTAAATTGTTCAATAACCTTTGTCATGTAAACCTTTTTTATTAAATGAGCTTCGGAATTAGGAATGGAGTTTTGAATTTTTAGGTAATTGTCTTTATATATGTTTATTTTCTCTTTCTTCCTGTGAACTGCATTTGTGAAATTATGAGACTTTGCACTGCTTGAATGGTAGTTTGCTTAAAAACGAATAACAGTTCCATTGAATGATGACTTGTTTGTGTATTAATAGGGTTCCCACTCAATTGAATGTGTGGATCCTTCGTAGGGTTGACTGACTCAAATACTTGGGGAAAAAATCTAATTCTATAACCTCCCGTTATTTAAAGGGATAGTTCACCCAAAAATGAAAATTTGATGTTTATCTGCTTACCCCCAGGGCATCCAAGATGTACAGTGGTGTGAAAAAGTGTTGGCCCCCTTCTTGATTTCTTATTTTTTTGCATGTTTGTCACACTTTAATGTTTCAGATCATCAAACAAATTTAAATATTAGTAAAAGATAACACAAGTGAACACAACATGCAGTTTTTAAATGAAGGTTTTTATTATTAAGGGAAAACAAAATCCAAAACTACATGGCCCTGTGTGAAAAAGTGTTTGCCCCCTAAACCTAATAACTGGTTGGGCCACCCTTAGCAGCAACAACTGCAATCAAGTGTTTGCGATAACTTGCAATGAGTCTGTTACAGCGCTGTGGAGGAATTTTGGTCCACTCATCTATGCAGAATTGTTGTAATTCAGCCACATTGGAGGGTTTTCGAGCATGAACCGCCTTTTTAAGGTCATGCCACAGCATCTCAATAGGATTCAGGTCAGAACTTTGACTAGGCCACTCCAAAGTCTTCATTTTGTTTTTCTTCAGCCATTCAGAGGTGGACTTGCTGGTGTGTTTTGGATCATTGTCCTGCTGCAGAAACCAAGTTCGCTTCAGCTTGAGGT